TTTCCTCCCTCCCTCCCTCCCTCCCTCCCTCCCTCCCTCCCTCCCTCCCTCCCTCCCCTCCCTCCCTCCCTCCCCTCGCTCGCTCACTCGCTCATCCCCTTGCCACGCATTTAGTCCCAACCGGGGGATATCTACCCCTACCCTCTCTTACTCAGTCAAATTGACCCCTACTTTGATGACCCACCCTGCTTTGTTGATCTTATTTTTGCGATCGGGGTGATTTGGAAACTCCTTCTGAATAATTTCGTGATTTTTGGGAAAACTCAAAATCATTTAACGTGAAAATTAAATTCTTTATTTCCATATTTCAAATATAACTGTGAGGTTAGAAAATCAGTCCCTACAAATGTGATGACCGCCCTCTCATCATCATAGGGTGAAGTACCCCCATTAACTCCCTCACCCCAATTTTCATAGTCAAAACTACCGGTTACTTTACTACCCCCACCCATCTATAATAAATCTCCCCACGGAATAACCCCTTCATTTCAGAGGGAAATCCTCACATCCCATAGGGACCACCCCACCCCACCTATTGGATTGACCCCTCCATCCCCACCCTCCCGTGTGACTACCCCTTCCTACCCTGGTAAACACACACCGTGTCATTTACTACCCCTACCAACTATCTCCCTGGAATTGTAGGGTAAATTCTAGGTATATCTGCATACCCCACCCCCTTTTCCATAACAATACCCCTTGTACTGCACCTCCCCACCCCCATAGTTTGCCCCTCATTTGGCGGGAAGGGCTCGAGCGAATAATAAGATGGCGGGAGGAGGCAGGGAGGAGGAGGCGGCGGGCAGGGGGAGGGGCAGGAGGAGAAGGAGAAACAGATGTAGGAAGGTGATGATACTGTGACGAGCCAAATGTGGGGTAGGAGCAAGACATGCAGCGATGGCGGCGGCGGCATGAGGAGATTGTGGTGGTTGAATAGGAGGATAGCGAGGAGCTCGGAGTCAGAAACAGGAGGATCAGGGTGAGGGCTGGGATCAGAACTAGGATCTGAAGAAGAGTTTCGTGTGTTGACAGCTCAGGAATAGAGGAGAGAGCTGATGAGTGTCTGTTTCTGCGCGAGGATCCCTGCCGGTGCGCGCAGTAGTCAATTCTTTACGTCGAGAGAAGGAGATCGAGGTGGAATGTAACAGAGCGAGGCTCAGTGGGATTTCAGGGGTGAGCATGAGCAACAGCTAGTGGTGGCGGTAAGCACACGTGTTGTAGAGTCCTTGCATTGCGGCAATAGTAAGTGCATGGCCGACTAAGGCATGAGAAGGAGGATTTCGGCGATTTTTGGGAAAGCGCATTTCAGGGTAACAAGTGATGTATGGATGTTCGAATGCTGTGATCGTGAAGGAGTAGAAGTCATTGAGACACGAGGATTTGTCATGCATGGAGTCAAAGTTGAGCAGAGCTGCAGTAGTTCAGTGTGGTTGAGCGGTGTGAGAAGCAGTATTCAGAAGTGATCACGCTGGTGATGTTCGTGGCAATTGCAACCTTTGGATGTGTTCAACTCTTTGGAAGCTTCTCCTTCGAGCCGACGTGACCTTCGTGCCTGCAGATGTCTGACGGAGAAGACGAGTCGGTGATGGCAAAACAGGAAGTCAAAACTAAGGTATGCCTCCTGGAACGCGCTGGCGAAGACATCTGACGTGTGTTGTAGACTGAGAATCCTGATGAGCTTCAGGACAAAGTCAAGAAGCGCATGGACTTCATTTCTCAGCAGACGGATTTGCTCATGCATTTGGAGAGCAAGGGGGCGGCGGCCAAGGACGATAAAGGTAAGTGCTGGCTGTCAGATCCAACGTGTTCTGACGTGCTTGCACTAAGGTACCAAGAAGACGACGAGAGGGAGAATGTCAGAGAAAGCGGAGGATGACATTCTGATCAAGAGAGCTGAGACAGAAGCAAGCGGAAAGAGCGTGTTCGCCGACGACCAGCGTCTGACAATCCAGCCCAGTGTCCTGCAGAACGGACAGCTGAGAGAGTACCAGCTGGAGGGATTGAACTGGCTGGTCAGACTTTACAACAACGGCATTAGCGGGATCTTAGCAGATGAGATGGGTCTGGGAAAGACTGTCCAGACAGTAGCGATGATAGGGTATCTCACCGAATTCAAAGATGCTCCCGGCCCACACATGATCCTTGCGCCCAAGTCCACCATGTCGAACTGGATCAAAGAGTTTAGGAAGTGGCTTCCCGACCATCGCATCGTCTACGTCGGGGGTACGAAGGAGGAGCGAGAAGAGCAGTTGAAGAAGCATGTCCAGCCTGGAGAGTTCGATGTGGTGATCACATCGTTCGAGATTGTCTGCAGGTATGATGTCAATGCAAGAGATGCTTGCTCCTGCTGAGGTGTATCTCAGGGAGAAAAACCACTTCAAAAAGTTCAACTGGAGGTACTTCGTGATCGACGAGGCTCACCGCATCAAGAACGAGAACTCCCTGCTCTCCGGGGTCGTCCGCGAGCTCAAGACCCACTCTCGCCTCCTACTGACCGGAACTCCGCTCCAGGTCTGTGTCCCCTTGCAGTGAGTGAGGTCCGAACTGAAGCACATGACAGAACAACCTTCACGAGCTCTGGGCACTCCTCAACTTCTTGCTTCCTGATGAGTTTGCTGATGCCGACGACTTCGACGCCTTCTTCGAGTCCTCCGAGAAGGCAGAGGAGGTCACTGGAAAGCTGCATAGGATTCTCAGACCTTTCCTCCTTCGTCGCCTCAAGGCTGATGTGGAGAAGGGACTGCCGCCCAAGTCGGAGGTCAACATGTACATTCCCATGAGCAACATGCAGAAGAAGCTCTACTCTAGTATTCTCAAGAAGGACGTCGATGCAATCAACGGCAAGGGAGGAGAGAGGTCCCGTCTGCTGAACATCGTCATGCAGCTGCGCAAGTGCTGCAACCATCCGTACCTATTCGAAGGCCAGGAGCCCGGTCCCCCCTTCGTGGAGGGAGAGCATCTGATCGACAACAGCGCCAAGCTCAAAGTTCTTGACAGGCTGCTGGACAAGGCCAAGGCCGAGGGCTCGCGCGTTCTGATCTTCAGCCAGATGACTCGCATGCTGGACATCCTCGAGGACTTCTGCTGGTACCGTGGACACAAGTACTGCAGGATTGACGGAGGGATCTCGGGAGACGTGAGAGAGGAGATGATCGAGAGCTTTATGAAGGACGACAGCGACAAGTTCATCTTCCTGCTCTCCACCAGAGCTGGAGGCCTCGGCCTGAACCTGCAGAAGGCCAACTGGGTGATTCTCTTCGACTCGGACTGGAACCCTCAGGTCGACATCCAGGCTATGGATCGTGCCCACCGCATCGGGCAGACGAAGCCTGTGCTCGTCTATCGCTTCATCGTCGAGAACTCAGTGGAGGAGAAGGTCTTGGAGCGAGCGTTCAAGAAGCTGTTCTTGGATGCCATGGTTGTGCAGCAGGGAAGGCTGACGGACAAGCACAAGTCTGCATCCAAGGACGAACTGCTCGAGATGATTCGCTTCGGAGCTGACACCGTCATCCGCATGGGCGACGTCGAGTCGGGAGAGTTCGACATCGACGCTGTCTTGGCAGCTGGCAAGAAGAAGACTGAGGAGATGACAGCGAAGCTCAAGGAGATGGCCGGCTCTTCCATGGCCGCAAATTTCAGCATGGACGGAGGCCAGACGGACTCTCTCTACCAGATGCCCGACGAGGAGTCAGCAGACACAGGTTTCTTCCTCGATATCGGGCAGAGAGATCGCAAGAGCCGAGGTTACAACATCGACCAGCTCTACCGCGAGCAGATCGGAAGCAAGAAGGAGCCGAAGCAGCCCTCGGGCCCCCGCATGCCCAAGCACCTCGTCACGCCGCAGTTCGCTGAGTTCCAGTTCTTCAACACTGTCAGGCTGGACGAGCTGTACGCGAAGAAGCGAGACTGGTGGCACCGATACCAGGTGGCGCTCAAGGAGAGAGACGCTTCCGAGGACAAGAAGAACTCGGAGGACAAGAAGAGCAAGGGCGAGAACGAGAACCCGCCCGACATCGTGCTTGATGGGCCCGAAATCGACAAGAATGAGGGATGGACGGACGAGGAGCACCAGGAGAGCGAGAAGCTTCTGACTGAGGTAGATGAGCGGATAGAGAAGAGAGGAGAGGAGAGGAGAGGAGAGGAGAGGAGAGGAGAGGAGAGGAGAGGAGAGGAGAGAGACTGAGTTGAGGATCCAGGGATTCATGAAGTGGACCAAGAAGGACTTTCAGATCTTCAAAAGTGCGTGCGAGCGTCATGGAAGAAATGCGTAAGTTCATTCTTCCATATCCTT